TGAGACAATGTGCAAAGCGTACTCGAGTTTCCTTTTCAGAATAGATTATACTTATATCTTCGACAAAAAACGTGATAACTTCAGGAATGTGCATGTTGTACCAGAGTCAAACGCAAAACACGATGACCCCATCAAAATTAGCGTCCCAGCAACCTAAGCAACGCTAACATGACCAGAGGAGCTTCCTTAAAATGGGACAAAAAAGACAAAACTAATCAACCCTTTCTCCTATGGTTTTTGACGTGAAAAAAGTTCGTCTGGGTAGCGTAGATCTCAAAAGCAAACATGCCAAAAATCCATTCTTGACTCTTGAAACATGCTATCTGATCTCGTTGGCATAGCCTAAACTTAGACGAGCAAATAACTTAACAAAGAAAACAGGAACGAAATCACACAGATGTCGGCCGAGAGCTCGGTCCACCATCACTCCATTTTGCTTGCAGATGTATGAACCCTTCACACTCTTCTTCAAGTCGGTGACAGTGTCAAATATACAGGCGATGTCAAAAACCTATTCCCTTTTGTGCAGTCCTCGATTTGCATGCACGCGCCGCAAATCCCGTGCGCCACGTGCGCGAGCGGACGGCAGGGCATTTTGCCAACTCCCGCAGACGTCATTGATCGGGGGTTAGCAAGGGCCTAAGCCGTACGCACGCGAACGAGCGCATCAGCCTTGCGATGCGTATGCGTAAGAGCTACGGACTTGTGAGCTCCTCATTAACATGCACTGTAAGAATGCAGCACTATTATTCTCACCGCTAGAGTGAATTTCTCGAAGAAAGCATGAAGTGGTTTTCTGGCATGAGTGTCATCATGATGTGACCCACCAAGCGTGACCCGGTGACAAAAGCTGCGCGCGCGACGCGACCGCCCGCGCAGCCGACTGTGTAGATTTAAATGGGGCCGTGTACGTGTGCAAAGTTTGGTCCGGATCGGTTCAGAAATGGAATTATTCGGAACATACATACAAACAGACAGACAAACAGACATTCAGCTTTGTATATAAGATTGACCTGTGACTATGTGATTTACAAGCTGCGCGCATCTCAATCGATAGCTATGGCAGCTTTCCTTGCAAGCTCTCCGACGTCTTGACGAAAACCATCGACACTTTCACTCCTATCGGCTTACTCAAACTTTTGGGCAAACACCTCGACTTCAAGGAGGAACGCTTCTCTCAAAAAATCGTTCCGCCACTAACGAACACTTTTGAGGTCAGTGTTCCAAGGCAAACGAGCACACGGACATGTAGCTGGCATAACGGCTCCGCCCAGCCCTGTCAGAACACTACATCAAAGGTCACTATCTCTGTTCCTGTACAAACCTTTCCCTGTGCCCACTTCTACTTGCCTCCCTGTCGCCGTTTTGTTTTCGAAATCAGCATGCCTCCCCCATTACCCCTTCCCCTGTGACTCCCAGCCCAGAGACATTGCAAAAAATTGATAAAGTCGGTGAAAGATGACCTGTGACTCCCAGCCCCATAGGCCGAACTTTGCAAAAAAAAACAATAAAAGTAATAGACAATTCTGAAAACTAATACTGTATTCGTAATCAGCATGCTCACTTACCCTCCTGAGCCAAATCCCAGCCTCGTAAGCCATGCTATGCAAAAATCGATGAAATCAAAATCGATTGATGAAGGCAGCCTATGACACCCCCGTGGGGGTGATCAGCATGCTCGATTACACCGCTCTGCCAAATTCCAGCCCCTTAGCTCAAATTTTGCAAAAAATCGATAAAATCGATACAAGTAATGCACGGTTTCGAAAACTAATATTGTATTCGTAATCAGCATGCTCGATTACACCCCTCTGCCAACTCCCAGCCCCGTAGCTCAAATTTTGCAAAAAATCGATAAAATCGACATCGATCGATAACGAAAAGTGGACTGTGACACCCGCCGGGGCCCGAAGGGTATGTGTGCCAAGTTTGGTCCGGATCGGTTAAGAAATGGAATTTTCTATTCGGAACCTACGGCGGAGCCGGGTAAGCCAGCTAGTCATTGATATAGACAAGGAATAGACAGGATAAACAAAGCAAAAGAGAAGAAGAAATGCACAATGTGAAAGGACACTATTGAGGGACACGAATGTGCAGCAAATACGGAGGTACATAAAAAAAAGTGGAGCTCTGCTGCCGTGAGCATATTTCCATTGCGCTGCAGCGGCGTACGCGGCGTGCGCGGCGTACGTGGCGTACGCGGCGTAGTATGAAGGAACCCTATGTGAAAGAGAGCGCTACTCGCCTATTCTGCCAAAATTTCGCCACAGATTTGGCAACCTACCCAGGGTGTTAAGTGATCGATGATCACGGGTATCACATCTTTTTCCCAGGAAAACGTCTTCTGCGCTGTTACATTAAGTATATGGTAGGAGGTCAAAATCATAGCATAGATTTGGCTGAAATCTGGCTCACGCGAGTTATCTGACACTCTAATCATAGATATCCATCTTTTTCGCAGGAAAACGCCTCCCTGTGTGATACGGTAGCATACGGTAGGAGGTTAAAGGCAGCGTCTCGGCAGAATGAACTCAGATTTTGGCACAGACGGATAGAAGGTCTTCTAAGTGAACCAAAACACCAACCCCGCGCCGAAAATGTGAACTCTGCAAGCCAAGGGGGGCGGCCCAACCGCCGCTCCCCTTCCTCCTTTCGCTCCCCTAACACCTTGTTCGGACGAGTATGTTCTCCGCTAGAGAACGCGCCGTCATTCGTAGCTTCATAGGGCAGAATTGTTATGGCGCTCTCTACCTCCTTACTCTACGTCTCTGGCGGCAGAGAAAAACGGCTCACTCGTCCGCGCCCGTCTCAAGGGGGGTTTCAAAAGACGGGGTTTTCCCCCACTTACGCGCTAAGGTGAGTTCATGTCGTGATTCAGGGGGCCGGAATAGCCCCAAATCCGCCAAAACCCTGAAGTTGAAAATCTGCCGAGCCGCTGCCTTTAAGCCATGGAACGCTGAAGCTTGGCCTGTGGGAGCTTACTGACACGTTGATCACGAAGATGATCCTCTTTTTATCTGCTGAAATCTCCCCGTAGGTGGGGAACTAAATTGACATGAAGGCAAATATGGCTAGAAGTCCGACTGCTTTGAGCAAATCCTCAAAGGCGTCGTCGTTCATCTCAATTTCCGAATACTTCGGTAAGCGTAAAGTCTCTAAATTTTCGTCAAGACATCGAAGAGCTTGCAAGGAAAGCTGCCATAGCCATCGATTGAGTGCGCGCAGCTTGAAGATCACATAGTCCCAGATCAATGCCTCATGAAGTGCGGTTGGAGTATGGGCGTCAGGCTTGCAAAAATGCATGCTGCTCTTTTACGGAGTATTTTCACGAATTAGTGCTATACCACCCTCCTCCACTAACAACAGTGTGATGCGCATGGTTAGAAAGCCAAAAAATTTCATAGAGCAGTTACAGCAAAAACGGGGACTTTCACATCTACATGAGATAGTCGCAATCAGTACGATAGATATAGTGGTCTTCTCCCCCCTAGACACCTAGTGGACGAATTCGAATTTGAATTAGAGCACGCCGGCAGAGCGCGGCACCGTCAAATGCATTTCAAGCTAATGCAGTTTTCTTTAGTGTTTTATTGTCGTTGCATGTGATTTTCTTTGTTATAATGATGAGTATAATCAGAATTGAAAAGATTTCTGTTGCTTAGCGATGTTTCGTACTATGCTCGTTTCTTTACACTGTTTTCAGGAAAAGTTGGAAAAACAATACGCATGGAGAATTTTTGACATGAGGTGTTCAATGAAACAACACACTTCAAGACTTAACGAGAGAAATTTCACCAGTTTTTAAACTTAATCTTTCCAAGCTCAACTTGGAATCGTAGTCAAAGAAACGAGCATAGCAGCACGATCCATCGAATAAAAGCAACAATTTCAGTACGAACTGAGAAAACTGTCAACATTCAAAAAATTAGGTTCAAACGTCGCAGAAGCACAAAAAGATTTGTTTGAAATTGAAGTAAGAGCTGCAGGTGCTGCGCTGCTGCAAGCGACGTGCTCTAGTTCAAATTCAAATTTGTCCTAGGTGTCTAGTGGGGGAAGACGACTATACCCCCTTGCGCAAGTTTGAGCTCGATCAGTTACTTCTGTCCCCATACCATACGCCTACTGTAAGTTCGCCACCACGTGTCTATCGCGGCCAGCTAGTCTGGTTGCGGTGAACAAGCTGTCGAGTACTCCATCTGGGCCAAGTTACAGCCAGTTTCGTGGTTTTGACCCCCTGCCGTATACCCACCGTAATCACACAAAAAGACGTCTATAAAAAATGCGATATTCGTGATCAGCGGTCAGATAACCCTCTGGCCAAATTTCAGCCAATTTCGTGGTTTTGATTCCCTACCGTACCTATGGCAACCACACAGGAAAGCGTTTACATGCGGTATTATGTGATATTCATGATCAACGAATTAACTTTCTGGACGTAATTCGAGCAAAATCCACGGCTAAAAAATTTTAGGGCCCGGATGGCCGAGTAGCGCCGTGAAGAGTTCGAGAAGATAACATATATAATAAGTTATACAATGATGTAACTACATCCTCGATTCGTTGACCACACGGACTGACATCATTGCGGAGCGCCGCCGCGAGCTAGCGCTGTCCCAGTAAAATTCGCCTTTGTACAAGTCCTGTGCTCGCAGCATCTCAGCCGCGCAGTGCGTGTTCTGCAATGTTTGAGCTGTCCGCGCCGTCAAAGAATCGACGACACATACAAACGCTTGAACAGTTCTTTATGTCGACATTGTGGTTGACTGGTTCGCATGGAGAGAAAGTGAGAGACCATTATTTTTGATCAAAAACAGAAAAGACAAGACTGGCTAACGTTAGTGGCAGGTGCCGTCCGATTCTCGTCCGAAGCGGAAGAAGCGCTTTGAAAACAAAAACGCTCTAGTTTAGACGAACTAATGAATTCTGATTGAAACATATCAAATCTAATGAATAAAAGTGTCAAGGACACGAAAAACAAATTTCGCTATATCAAAACGAACCTGTTTGTTTTTGCCTTGATTCAAAGTCTCGAGCCTTTCCATTATCTTTTCCGTTACAAGGGACTGAAAAGAATGTTGCAAGTAGGAAGAAGAAATCTGCTCAACATTCGCTCCTATCACAATCAGTTCTCATGCTGCAATGAATGACAGCATGGATTCAAAACCAACAGTTATTAGATTAGACATTGTTCATGGATCAGCAGCGATGCTTCAAAATACTGATTATGAAGCCCCGAAAAGAAGAACAGAAATTAATCAAGACTAAAAACCGAATGACAGACTCAATGAAAGATTCGAAAATTCACAACACTTACTTTTCCGGATGCAGGCCCACCCGCGACCCCGATAATGCAAGGTAACCGCAGCTTGCCCATCTCAAGAACAAAACCTGAACATGTGCTAAATAGTGGCCGGCTGAAACTTACAAAATGGGAGTATAGAAAAAACGACGCTGATCAATTAGAATAGAAAGTAGATACCCTAAGCAATAGCTATAACACAAAGTGACATTCTTAAAAAGACAAAACGAATGACCAGCCATGACCTAGCATATTTTGCCTATGCTCGAACAGTTCAGCCGGCATACTATTCCTGCGATCTGCAATTCCTGTGATTCCTGCGGGTGCCGTAACAATGTATATTGCGAAAAAACAATGTGTACTGAAACTCGCAAACCGCTCCGTAGTGCGGCACATGGAAATCGAGGAATCACAGGAATTGCAGGAACTACAGGAATCGCAGAAATCACCTCCTGGAATAGCATGCCCGGTTCGGATTAATTGCAGTTACGCCCTCAACTATCGAATAGATTTTCCGCTTAATATAGTGTGCTTGCACAGAAGGTAAAATCCGGTGAAATTTGCGCGTAAATATCTAAATAGCCACGCAAGTATTGCCGGCATTTTGCGCGCGCAATTGACCGGCGTCACAGTCGAAGCTATTTGTTCACGCGAAAATTTCACCGCATTTCACCTTCAGTGCAAGCACACTATATTAAGCGGGATCTACTCGACTGTACCATCGGCTCCCCGACTGCTGGATTGGGCGGTCGCGATGGTCAATCGATAATCAATTTATCAGCTATGTTTCAACACAAGGAAACCGCATCGCTGATACGCTCGCCTGGATCCGCCCTCGCGGCAATCGGGGAGTCGATGTTACATCCTACTCTATATAAAGCGCAAGCACCCCCATGTGAGTCAGCGCGTCTGTATGTCCACGTAAACATGTCTGTATATGCGCCCCAAAGAGCGATCAAGAAGTGATCCTTGGCATTCGCCAGGCCATATATACGCAAACAACTGACGTTGGCTCCAAAGAGCGATCAAGGAGTGATCCTTGGCATTCGCCAGGCCATAACTGCGCAAACATTTGAGAGCTTCCAGAAAAGGTATCATGGTTGTGGGTACAAAGTACAGTTCAGAATACATGTTGACTGTTCATCTCTCTTTACATTACTCCAGTTAGGTTCCAAACCATCAACACACACGATTCAAATTTGACAGAATCTTCTGCCAATTTGCTACAGTTTTTTCCCACTTGCTCTGGCATCAACGCGCTTAACAAAAGTATGCTAGGGTTTTAAGTGCAATTGTCAATGTTTTGATGTTCCACAATAACTTTGCAAGAAGCACCTTATTAGGATGATCAATGTTAATCGCAAGTATTCAATTTGTTTCAAAATCTTTGATGAGGTCCCACAGAAAATTTCATCGATTCCATTTTTGAAAAGTTTATTTTTCAACTTTTGGTGCAAGCACAAACTCTTTAAAGATTTCCATCGAATGGTTAGCAGTCTTTCAGTCTCAACAAGGGGACCGAATTTGTTGTTAGATCTATTTCGTTCTTCTTTTGACATCGCGCTTCTCTATTTCTATTATGGAGCGTTTAATTTGAGCAGCATAAGTTTTACTAAAAGTATTTCAGCAGAATACTGCACTCTTCCATATTTCTTATCTCGAGTGCTTAGTATGTTTCCTCACCGCAACAGTTGCGCCAAATCTTCAAATGTTCTGTCCTTCTAATTTTCTGCTAACATATCTCAGCAAGAAAGGAAACTTTCGTTCTCCATGAAGTGTTTAGTAAATGTTTTATCTCAGACAAACTGCTAGATATGTTTTTGGAGATTTCTCGCAAATTTTACTTCGGACAATGTCACTTTTTTTGATTGGGCGCGTTTTTGAAATGCCCACACCACAGGCATTTCTTTAGACTGTGTCTTCTTAATTCACATGCAAAGATGTTTGTCAAATTTGACAAATTCGAAATTTGACTCCATCGAGTTGTCATCTCAACATCGTGTAAACTTTTTAGATACTTCCCAACAATTATACGAAACACACTATCTTTCCAAACGAATGCAGCATGGTTATGTGAATTTTCTTGAAACTCCATAAAACCTAGATGCAATAATCTTTCATAGCTAGGGAAGGGTAGACTCTAAAGAAACCATTTTTGAATTCCTGGGTTTTCTTACAAATATCAAAAATTCGAAGAGTAATGTAGACGAAGTCAATGCGATCATGATTATTTTTGTTAGGACTAGATGCCGTATGAATTTGCCGTTAGCATCTCAGCTACGAATAAGAGACAAGATGTCATGCAGGTTGGCTTCACATGAACTGAAGCTCTGCTAATCTTCAACGCAGCTTTTCAAAATATAGCATAACCTTAAAATTGTATAAGGAACGAGATCTGCCTAGGTGAGCAGCTAAAAGCATAAACGCCTTCAAGTAGGGCCTTTTCAAGAATTTGAATTAGTAACTTTTGCTAACATTAAGATAATCTGAAAATTGAGTGGATTTGTAGCACCTAGGGATGAATTTCAAGGATGCTAGACATTTGCAAAACTTATAAAACTTATAAAACGCGAACGAGAGTTTTGACAGTAACATTCCTTGAAGTGGAAGAGGAATTGTGAAGCTTCCAGGAAAGAGTACTTAATGAAGAGAAAGAGGGAATGTTACTGAATGAGGGAATGTTTAAATTTAAAAAACTCTAGATTTGGTGGTTCGACTATTGGCTAAATACTTTCAAAAATATCAATTCGAATTTTCTTGCTAATTTAGTTTTGAAATGAGAGTAGTTTGATTAAGAGCTTTTGGGGGAGTGGAGGTTTCTAAGGCACTTTGGAGGGTCACTCAATGTGGGAAACAGGGCCCCGGATGGGAAGAGTGCACATACAGTCGAGTAGATTTTCCGCTCAATATAGTGTGCTTGCACAGTTTATGAAATGCAGTAAAATTTGCTCATGAACAGGTAGCTGCGCCAGCACTGTCGGCACTTTGCGCAACTGGCCGGCGTCACAGTCAAAGCTAATTTCTCACGCGCAAATTTTACCGCATTTCACTTTCTGTGCAAGCACACTATATTAAGCGGAAAATCTACTCGACTGTAACTGGGAATACTTTGTCGGGTTTGAGACGGGGACTTCAATCACAAAAATTTTTTTACATGTGAAAGTTTGAGAGCATTCGAGAATCTTCGCAGAATGGAGAACTGGCAGGCTCAGTTTGTCTCGATCGTGATCAGACGCACCTCAAGAAATTTCGTTAAGAAGCTTCTGGGTGAAAAGAAGTTGAGGGAAGCGGAGGAAGGGGGGGGGATGGAGGGAAAATCCTGGAAGGACTCGGATAGAAAAAGGCGAAATTACAAAATTCGAGTATCTGTAAATTGAGTGCCTGTAAAATCGTGTCTCCGTGAGCAAAAAGAGTAGCGGTGCGGTTAGGAGAAACTGGGGGAGGGGGGGGGGGGGAGAGCAGCCATGATTCTGTTGCCAGTTTTGATAAGAAAATTTTCGAATCCTTCGAAAGCAGGAAAGATCCGCGACTTTGATAATCTCTGGGGTAGTAACGTGCTTAAATCCGTACCATACGTTTGAGGAAGAAAAATTTTGCTACAAATCTTCAAAAGTTCTAGCTTTTAGTCACATTCCCACTTTACACACACAGCCAGTCCAAAGCGCCGCGAAGCGGCGCTTTGGACTGGTGTAAAATAACTGTCGTAAGACCTCGACAAGGAATGCAACTGACATTGGCTCAAGAACGCGCGCCTGGTGTAAGTACAGAGCACATCACTTATCCTACGTCTGCATTTAAAGATTTTCTCAACTTTGCTCCTTCTCATCTCTTTGAAGTACGACAAATTAAATGAGTAATTGATAAAAGAGTGAGTGCTTTCAAAAAATCGCCAATGTTTACTGAAATCTCATGGAAATCTCATGGCATGGGGGTTACATAAATGTTTTGCTTGACAGTCGTTTACTGTGTAGCTGCAACACTTACACGTTATCGAAGCCGAATCCACAGGATTGCCTAGAACATGTTTAATGGGGTTGTGTCTGTGCCAAATGAACATTGATGTATCTAAACTGTGCATGCCATTCATTCTCTGACGAGGTCCGGCCATTTGCTGTTTGAGTGGCCGAATCCGTACCATCAATAACCTGCAGTAAAGCGGTCGGGTACCGGTCAACAGCAGGGCCAGGCAGAGATAGTTCGGGATCAAACTGGACTCCGTTTTTGAAGTTAGAAGCAACGGGGATGTCGTTGTTATGAGGTCCTGGGCGAAGCACGAAAAAAACGACAATGATGTTAGGTTATACGAGTTGAACGTGTTCCTTGGCAGGCGCGCGAATTTCAAACGTAACCCAGACAAACAGACGGCGTTTACAGCGCACAAACAACCACATGACGCCGAATTTGGGCTATTTATAACCATACTAGCTGGCTTACCCGGCTCCGCCGTATCCGGATCAAACTTGGCACACATACACTTCGGGCCCCGGCGGGTGTCACAGTCCACTTTTCGTTATCGATCGATGTCGATTTTACCGATTTTTATCGATTTTTTTGCAGAGTTCACCTACAGGGCTAGGAGTTGGCACAGGGGGGAAGTGAGCATGGGGATTCCGAATACAATATTAGTTTTCAGAATTATCGATTACTTTTATTGATTTTATCGATTTTTTGCAAATTTTGACATGCGAGGCTGGGATTTTGCACAGGGGGGTAATCGAGCATGCTGATTACGAACACAATATTAGTTTTCAGGATCGTCCATTACTTTTATCGATTTTATTGATTTTTTTTGTAAAGTTTGACCTGCGGGGCTGGGAGTTTGCACAGAGGGGTAATCGAGCATGCAGATTACGAATACAATATTAGTTTTCAAGATCGTCCATTACTTTTATCGATTTTATCGATTTTTTGAGAATTTGAGCTAGGGGGCTGGAATTTGGCACAGGGGTGTAATCGAGCATGCTGATCACCCCCTTGGGAATGATCAGCATGCTCGATTACCCCCCTGTGCCAACTCCCAGCCCCCTAGCTCAAACTTTGCAAAAAAATCGATAAAATCGATAAAATTAATCGATAATCCCGAAAACTAATATTGTATTCGGAATCCCCATGCTCGATTACCTCCCTGTGCAAACTCCCAGCCCCGTAGCTCAAACTTTGCAAAAAAATCGATAAAATCGATAAAAGTAATCGATAATCCTGAAAACCAATATTGTATTCGGAATCCCCATGCTCGATTACCCCCCTGTGCCAACTCCCAGCCCCGTAGCTCAAACTTTGCAAAAAATCGATAAAATCGATAAAAGTAATCGATAATCCTGAAAACCAGTATTGTATTCGGAATCCCCATGCTCGATTACCCCCCCTGTGCCAACTCCCAGCCCCGTAGGTGAACTCAGCAAAAAAATCGATAAAAATCGATAAAATCGATATCGATCGATGACGAAAAGTAGCCTATGACACCCGCCGGGGCCCGTAGCGTATGTGTGCCAAGTTTGGTCCGGATCGGTTCAAAAATGGAATTTTCTATTCGGAACATACGTACACACAGACATACAGACATACATACAAACAGACATTCAGCTTTATATATAAGATTACTCCAAACAACATTATGTAAGCAGTTCCAAAATACTTATGTGTCCTAATACCCATTCCTGAACTTGTTGGTTTCTAGACCAACACCAAATTAACTGGGTTGGTTCGGAGCATAAATACCGGAGAGTTCACATAAGTTTTGGACCTTTTTGATTTGGACAAGAGAATGCTCCAAACTGTATTATAGAACCCAACAGGTCATCGACTTGGTGCAGTAGTCATAACCAGGGTCAAGCGTGGGGTGTGGCACGCCACACCTGGGGGGTCGTACTGATGAGTCAAAAGGGGAGAGGGTCCTAGTTGGGTAATCTGATAATAGTGATCACATGATATTCGTATCATATCCATAATTAGCATGTCAATTAACCCCTATAGACAAAGTTTGAGCGAATTTTGAAGATTCAAGATATTAGGCTACCTAAGTGAAATGTTCATATTCCAACATGGTTAACTTTGTTTCAAAGGTGAATAAGCTATCCATTTTTTCACTGAAGACAAAGCACTACTCCTTTTTTGTCCATCTCAGAAATCCCGCTCCAAAAGTCCCTAAAACTGTGGAATTAGAAGCCAACCAAAATCTCATTTTTCCCATTTTTCGCTTTTAACAGCTGTGCTTTCACCGAATATTATTCAGAGCCAAGAAGACGAATCAGGCTTGAAACATTCCTAGGAATCTACGAGGTTTAGGCTATCGATTCATATAAATAGCGTTCGCTAAAATGTTTTTTTGATATAGTTGAAGGGCAGTGGCGTACCCAGGATTTCGGCCCGAGGGGGGGGGTTCGCGACAAAAAAATTTTTCTAATGAAGATTGGGTTAGCTACGCAACCAGAAAAAATTTTTGGTACGCTTCTTAAAATTTTTACGGGCCCATAACCCCAAAATTTTCCGAAAAAATTTTTTTATAAGGCTAAATTGAATTTTTAAAATTTTTTAAAAATTATTTCAATTACTTACAAGTATAAATAAGTCTCTTGCATATTTTTATAACTTATGTAAGTAACTTTCAAAAAGTTCGCGACCCATTCTCGGGGGGGGGGGGCGCCCCCCCCCCGTTTCCCCCCTCGGCACACCCCCTTAAAAGCTGTGGCAGCCACAGCTTTCAAGGGGGTGTGCCACACCCCATCAACTACTCAGGCATTCGCGCTGTGCGAGCGGTCCGCCTACAGGCACCAGCGCTCAAACGGCCGACATAAATTTAAAGCTTTTGTGTGTGCGGCGAACAATGAAAACTCCGTCCAAGCAGCAGTACATTTGCCCAAGCGAGCGGCCAGCAATGTGCCCGTCTGATCGGACGACAAAACCTGCGAGCGGCCGACAGTGACCTTTATTTCCTCCTCGTAATTGTCACACGCTGTGAGCCTAAACGGTACCTGCGTGAGATACGACGCAGCGTTTAGGCTGCCTTTGCCTGATACGGCCATATTAGACCAAAGGCAGCCGTATCAGGCCATATTAGACCAAAGGCAATCTTCGTTAACCAGGAACCCGAGGAAGGTGCATCTGGTATACACCAAGCTGGTACCACTACGTTGTATAACTGTTTATTCGATAGTAGCGGAGCAGCCGCTGACTATCAACAGTGTATGCGGAACAGCCGCTGACGATAGTGGTAATAATCGAACCAAGACCAGAACTGAGTATTCAGGCCCTTTTATGCCACTATTTTGGGCGTGGATAACCTGAATGCTCACTTCTGGTAAACAATAGTATCATACAGCATGAAGGATTGCCTACATGAAAGTAGGCGCCGCCAAGTAGACTATCAAGCACAGCGGAGGGGTAACCTGGCGGCTTAAGTGGTCAGTGAACAATAAGGTTTGTCAACGACAAGCTAACAGATATGCTAAATATAACATACACGGTAGATCTACAATGCTAAAGGTTGTAGATTATTTGGATAATCTACGACAGCGCATGAGTCTATGCATGGTCAAAGGTGTGAGTGTATATACTCCCAACATAAATTGTTGGGTCAATGCTGCACGATCCACGTTCTTGAATGTAAAAACCAACATAATCAAAGAGAAGTGGTCAAGGTATACCTCAACAGTGAGCGAGCGGCCCACCTTCTTCGCGCAAGCGGCGAGCGATAGTACCGTACGTGCGCCACACCTTACCCACTCTGACATTCGGTGCGTGCGGCGCTCGCGCGTTCCCCGTGCGGCGCTTTGTAGTGCGCGTGGGCCGGACGATGAATGCGCGCGTGCCGCACGGTATTGAAAGCGTTTCGTCCGCAAGCTACTAGAGAATTAGTCTTTTGTAAAGCTTTTTTTTCTTCTTTCGTCGTGCCGTGCGCATTTTCAACTTCACAGTCCAAAAAAATTCCGAATTAAGAAAATTCGAAAATTTGAATTTGAATTTATAGAATTCAAAAATTCAGATTCAGCACCCATTCGGGACGCTGTCGAGGGATCTTCCTGGGTAGCAAACGCCAGAAAGTGATCCGTAGGCCAAATGCACCAATTTGGTATACACCAAGCTGGTACCACTACGTTGTATAACTGTTTATTCGATAGTAGCGGAGCAGCCGCTGACTATCAACAGTGAATATGCGGAACAGCCGCTGACGATAGTGGTAATAATCGAACCAAGACCAGAACTGAGTATTCAGGCCCTTTTATGCCACTATTTTGGGCGTGGATAACCTGAATGCTCACTTCTGGTAAACAATAGTATCATACAGCATGAAGGATTGCCTACATGAAAGTAGGCGCCGCCAAGTAGACTATCAAGCACAGCGGAGGGGTGACCTGGCGGTTTAAGTGGTCAGTGAACAATAAGGTTTGTCAACGACAAGCTAACAGATATGCTAAATATAACATACACGGTAGATCTACAATGCTGAAGGTTGTAGATTATTTGGATAATCTACGACAGTGGGGCGCGCGACGGAAGGCGCGTAAGCAAGAAAATATAAATCACAAAAGTTACACGTAGGTTACAAAAGTTCATCACAACATTAGCTAAGTCACGTATATCACATGATTTCTGTAACGGGTTCGTTGTCTTCGTCTGAGATTCGTAAGGTGGTCGGCCATCATGTCGTGGTCGGCCTTCGGGGCCAGGCGCGACGCTGAAGCGAGACATCTCGGTTGAGCATCAGTAATCATCTTCACGAATTGTCCTTGAGCCCTTGGTTTTCGGCGTTTGCGATCGAATTGTTGTCCACGAGATGCGCTGTTACGTTGGCAGCTTTCGTGTTTCGTAGATGACTTCTCAGGTTGTGCGAACATATTCATCGGATACGGACGACTGAGCTTCTTCGCTCGGCGTTTGGAAGTTTTTCGCTCAGCTTGTTCGACGCTTTTAGCTGGCTTCTGCTTCATTGAGTTTCCTTTACTCACTGGATGATTGTAGGAGACCATGGTGATTGCGGTGTTCTGCGAATGCTCCTCCATCTTGATTCCATATATCGGACTGCTTCCGGAGATAGCATGACCAAAAACAGTAGGGGTGAGAATAAGTCCCTACGGAAGAATTGTACATGGTCGATCCCTCAAGATGAATTGATCGATCAGATCTTGACCAATGAGAATG